ATGAAGTCCAATACTCTTTACAAGAAGTTAACAAAATAAAATATAGCACTTCTAAACAATGTTCATCATTTAATTTTTTTAAATTACTATTTCAAAAAGCAGAACTGTGTAACTTCTTGTCCAAAGAGAAACAGTCAATAGAGGCAAACTTAGAAATAATGGACTGAAATAGAAGCAGTTTATTTTTTCCCCAGCTTATTGAGATATAATTAACATATAATATTGTGTAATTTTAAGGCATAAAATATGATTTGATCCATGTTTATATTGCAAAATAATTACCACAATAAGGTTAGTTACATCCTTACATCCTTACATCACATAATTATAATTTTTATGTATGTGTGGTGAGACCTTTTAAAATCTACTCTCCTAACAACTTTCAAATATTTAATATAGTATTTTGAACTCTAGTCACTAGGCTGTAAATTACATTTCCAGGACTTATTCATCTGAGAAGCACTTTAAAAAGTAGGCCTAACTTTCTTAGTATGTTACTCTCCAACCCTTTAACCCTCCTCTCACCAAAATTAAAACTTTATGGAAAAAGTAGGACTGTCAGTAATAGCATCTGCCATAAATTTCAAAGCAATATCAAGAAAGTAGAAAGCCTTTATCCCCCTGCAAGAAACTTATTGCCCTACACAAGAATCTTACTCTCACTAGCTCCATACTCAGCCCACTAAACTAGCCAAATTTAAAGTAAGAAAAAGGATAAATTCATTATCTCTCTTTCTTTGACAAAATTCCATTTTAACAAAATTCAACAGTTAAAATAGCAGTGAAACCTCAGTTTTCTCAGTCTAAAGGTAATTCACTCTCACATAGTGGAAGTGTATATTTCACAAATTAATGTAGATCTCCCGAGTAGTAGGTGTATTTTGTTTCCTCAGAAATTGCACTTACTAATTCCTGCTATTTTCATTTTTCCTTCCATAACTATATGTATTAGTGTTCCTGCTGGGTTTTATTTTCATTTCAAGTACATATTACAATAATATTTTTTCTTACTATGAGAAAAAAAATTAAAGTGAAAAATGTAAACAAAGGTAAAAATAAATATTTATTTATAAACAAATTGGGGGCAAAAACTGGGGTAAAATCAGGGGTAAAAACAAATAAGTCACAGACAAAAACTAGCAGCCTGAAGAAATGCTTTTTTCCCCCAACAAAATGTTCACAAATCTTCCAATTTTGCATGCCTTTAGGTGGGCTTGTATTCTCCAATATCTGTCAGAGGCCCCTCCAACCCTCTTACATCATATCTTACATATGTTTACTCATTTAACTTCCTAATCCAGTAGGTGCTTAAATCTTCCAATCCCTACTTTAAGTGCATAAACCAAGATTAATAAATGAATAATTTCTTCCCATTTGCAGAAAACTTTTGATTGTCTTCCAAAATGACTTCTAAAATGAGTAATGGACTTTTCTTTTGGCATTTGGCGTAAAAATTGGGGGCTGGCCTTTTGTCTCTTCTAAATAGAGAAAATAGAATGTGGTAACACGTCTTTGACTTATTTGAGTAAGTTGTGTTCACAGCCACATTGGATGACTTGTATTATCAAGTTATGTGTACATTATATTTATATGTTTTTTTTAAAGGAAGCTTTATTCTTTCTTTTATAATTTTATTTATGTATTCATTTTTGGCTGTGCTAGATCTCTGTTGCTGTACACATGGCTTTCTTTTGTTGTGGCTCTCAGGCTCAGTAATTGTGATGCACCAGCTTAGTTTTCAGGCAGCATGTGGGATCTTCCTGCCCAGACCAGGGATTGAACTCATATTTCCTGCATTGCTAGGCAGACTTTTAATGATTGGGCCACCAGGGGAGCCCACTTATATGGTTATTTCCAATTGCATATTTGAAAATATATTTGTAAAGACTAAAATGCCTACAAAGAGTGTTAATAACTTTTGTAATATTTAAATTTCCATTTCTTTCCTTAAAAAATCTCAGAACACTTAAACATATTTTAGAGATAATTTACAAAGGATTCTTTTCTATGTAGTCAAAGAAAAAATTCCACACTGTCTCACAAAGCAACAGAGGGAAATTCACACTCATTATCTAAGGCATTAAATCTCCAAGACTACATTATTTTCTTAACAAAATTGACCTTTACTAATGTTAAGAACTTTCTGTTTAATACTTTGGGAGATAATTGTGCAATACTTTAAACAAATGGAAGAATTTGGGAAATTTAAAAGAAATGTTAAGTACTTATTTGTCCCATTTTTTTTCAGGTAATCACTGCCTCATAGACCATTTTTACACTGTCACGTTTAGCTTCCATTTTTTAGGGTTAATTAGAGCAATAGTGAATTGCCTACATTTATGTTAACTGCTTTCCTGTCAGTCCCTAATAGTTTGTTGTTTTGATATAGCGGTTTTGTTTGTTTGTTTGTTTTTCTAACTTCCATCTTACTCATATCTAGTTTGGTATATTTTTATTTTGTCTTCCTTTAGTAGTGTAAAAAGATAAGTCAGCATTAATTTGTAAAAGGAATGTAGAGTAATACAAGATGAACTTCTAAGGATTTTTCTGATGCTACCATTTTTCCAGCAAGCCTTAGAATGTTTGCCATATCATACCATTATGGTTTATTCTAATACATATTTTTAAAAATAAAAATGGTAAATTGCATGTAATATGTAAAATTTATCTGAGGTATAATGTAAGAGACATATAAAGAACAGTAAGACCCCCTTAGTTTGTTTACAACCCAACTGAACATTGAAATTATCATGGGAGTTTTAAAAATTACTGATGCTTAGATCCTTTACCCAGAAATTCTGATTTGGCTGCTTTCGAGTGCAGCCTGGACACAGATTTGTTTAACTCCTCCGATAACTCTTAAAGTACAACCAATGTTGAAAACCACTGAACTAACTATCTGCAGATTACTGGTTCTTAACTTTGACTAAGCAGTAGACAATTCAGTTCAGTTCAGTTCAGTTGCTCAGTCGTGTCTGACTCTTTGCAACCCCATGAATCGCAGCAGGCCAGGCCTCCCTGTCCATCACAAACTCCCGGAGTTTAGTCAAACTCATGCCCATCGAGTTGGTGATACCATCCAGCCATCTCATCCTCTGTCATCCCCTTCTCCTCCTGCCCCCAATCCCTCCCAGCATCAGGGTCTTTTCCAATGAGTCAACTCTTCGCATGAGGTGGCCAAAGTACTGGAGTTTCAGCTTCAGCATCAGTCCTTCCAATGAACACCCAGGACTGATCTCCTTTAGGATGGACTGGNAGTTTATTGTGATCCAGAGTCGAAGACTTTGGTGTAGTCAATAAAGCAGAAATAGATGTTTTTCTGCAACTCTCTTGCTTTTTCGATGATCAGTCAAACAATAACCCATATCAATGCTGCCAAGAGCAAAGAGCTTTATTTGGGGTCTTAGGAATTGCCATTCTGGGAGCACCAATTGGGGTGAAGCTGAAAGAGTTTTCAAGGAAATAAAAAGCCAGGGACTTATAAAGACAAAAGTCAAGTTTGTTAAAGCTCTCTGGAAAGAATTATCACTGATCCTTGTGCAGGAAGAAGATATTTGTTCTTAAGGGATATGCTGTTGGAGCTATTTAGGGTAAGGGTCCAACAAGCACCTTAAATTTCTGAAACATAGGGCAGAGTTCTAGATGCCTGAGTTAAGGCCGTAAGTGATCAGAAGTTCAGAGTCCACCCAGAATCACTTTCTCCGTACCCTTCTAGCTCCATTTTGGAGCTCTCTCTTGGCAACACTAAATTTATTTTATTTTCCTCCCAGAGAATTAACAGGTACATTAAAACTATAGTGTCTGAAACTCTAGTCCCATAGATTAGAATTTAGCTTCTCTTGAGGTGGAATCCAGGAGATGTCTGTTTGTTTTATTTGTTTCCAGTATGATGATTTTAATGTGAAGTTAAAACTAAGTATTATTACTCAAGAATCAAGCTGTTTAATACCACAGCATGGGAGAGGTACTGTCATTGTGTTTTTGTTTTTAGATAACATGCTATACAAAAACTTGGACTGGTATAAGCACTCAGTGGCACAAGTTTAGTTATAGAACTAAAGCAAGTAAGTTAATTATGTTTAAAAAGTATTATTAGTAACTGTATTTTAGGATATGTGGGGGAAATTGCAGTTCTAGGTACCTTACCATTCAGCAGTTCTAAATTTGATCCTCGTGAAAATTTTGGTCAAATTATCATATTTCTATCTGCGAGGCAGAATCAGAATTTTCACCAACACAAAGCTGAAGAGCAATTATCCTGGAATTAAAAATAAATAAAAAATTTTCAGCTGCTCTGAAAAGTCTCATTGACATGGTGTTGCCATATCCATTAGACTGACTAACTGGATTATTTCCATTAATGCTGGGCTACAGAACAGTGCACAGGCTTCCCAGGTGGCTCAGTGCTAAAGAATTCATTTCCTGATGCAGGAGATGTAGGACACTTGGGTTCTATCCCTGGGTCAGGGAAGAGCCCTTGAAAGAGGGAATGGCAACACACGCCAATATTGCTGCCTGGAAAATTCTATGAACAGAGGAGCCTGGAGGACTGCAGTCCTCAGGAATGAGGAGTTTTGACTGGACTTTGCACCCGAGCATCCAGGCACAGAACAGTGCGGCTGTCTCAGGCAGCTTCAAGGCAGGAAAAAGCAGCAGGACCTCAACAAACAGCATCCCATAATACAGGGATAAGAGAAAGCTCTTTTGAATTTATAACGAGGAAAAGTATAAAGAAGCTTCATTATTTTTAATAATGTTAAGCATATAAATGACTGAAAGGAGCCTGCGGAGCACGGTGAGGACCTAGGCCCGGGTGGTAAGCAGGCTCCTTCCGGAGGTGGGGCCAGGACTGCCGTCACAAGATGAAGCTGCACTGCTGTTTCCAGGGCCGGCGGCTCTGGCCGCTGGGGTCACCATTAACTCACAGAACCTCCAGAGCGCGCTTCCCCGAGGCGAGGCCAGGCACGCCGTCACGTGAAGCAACCGCCGTGGCACCGCCCCGTCTGCCCCGCACAGGAACCTGGGAAGGTGCCAACATGGCGGACAGCGCGATACCGGACGCGACCACAGTGCAAGTACTGCAGGACCTGGCCAACCGCCTGCGCGTCCATTCCATCAGGGCTACGTGTGCCTCTGGCTCCGGCCACCCCACATCGTGTTGCAGCGCGGCAGAGATCGTGTCGGTGCTTTTCTTCCACACGATGAGGTACAGACAGACTGAGCCCGCTCACCCCGACAACGACAGATTCGTCCTCTCCAAGGGTCATGCAGCTCCACTGCTCTATGCTGCCTGGGCGGAGGCGGGCGGCATCAGTGAACCAGACCTGCTGAAGTTGAGGACAATTCATTGTGACCTTGAGGGACATCCCACGCCCAGGCTGTCGTTTGTGGATGTGGCGACAGGATCGCTCGGGCAAGGGTTGGGGGCTGCGTGTGGAATGGCTTATACTGGCAAGTACTTGGACAAAGCCAGCTACCGGGTATTCTGCCTTCTGGGCGACGGTGAGTCCTCAGAAGGCTCCGTCTGGGAAGCTTTGGCCTTTGCTTCCCGCTACGGTTTGGACAATCTCGTGGCAGTGTTTGACGTGAACCGCTTGGGGCAAAGTGGCGTTGCGCCCCTGAAGCACTGCACAGACATCTATCGGAATCGCTGCGAGGCCTTTGGATGGAATACTTCCTTAGTGGATGGCCATGATGTGGAAGCGTTGTGCCAGGCCTTTTATCAAGCTGCTCAAGGGAAGAACAAGCCCACTGCCATAATTGCAAAAACCTTCAAGGGACGGGGTATTCCAGATGTTGAGGATGCAGAAAATTGGCATGGAAAGCCAATGCCAAAAGAAAAAGCAGATGAAATCATTAGACTAATTGAAAGTCGGATACAGACCAACAGGAATCTCCTACCAAAACCTCCTGTTGAAGATTCACCTCCAGTCAGCATCACAAATATAAAAATGACCTGTTTGCCTGATTATAAAGTTGGTGACAAGATAGCTACTCAGAAAGCATGTGGTTTGGCTCTGACTAAACTGGGCCTTGCAAATGAAAGAGTTGTTGTTCTGGATGGTGACCCAAAGAACTCCACCTTTTTTGAAATATTCAAGAAAGAACATCCTGAGCGTTTTATTGAGTGTTTTGCTGCAGAACAAAACATGGTGAGTGTAGCACTGGGCTGTGCCACACGTGGTCGAACCATTACTTTTGTTACTACTTTAGCTGTCTTTTTGACTAGAGCATTTGATCAGATCCGGATGGGAGCCATATCTCAAACTAATATAAATCTTATTGGTTCTCACTGTGGGGTGTCTGTTGGTGAAGATGGCCTGTCCCAGATGGCCTTGGAAGATCTAGCCATGTTCCGAAGCATTCCAAATTGCACTGTTTTCCTCCCAAGTGATGCTGTCTCAACAGAGCATGCTGTTTATCTGGCTGCCAATACCAAAGGAATGTGCTTCATTCGGACCAGCCAATCAGAAACTGCAGTTATTTATACCCCACAAGAAAATTTTGAGATTGGAAGGGCCAAGGTCATCCGCCACAGTAATAATGACAAAGTCACAGTAATTGGAGCTGGAATTACTCTGCATGAAGCCTTAGCAGCTGCCGATGCTCTTTCTCAGCAAGATATTTCTATCTGTGTTATTGACCTGTTTACCATTAAACCCCTGGATGCTGCCACCATCATCTCCTGTGCAAAAGCTACTGGTGGCCGGGTTGTCACAGTGGAAGATCATTACCAAGAAGGTGGCATTGGTGAAGCCGTGTGTGCAGTAGTGTCTGGGGAGCCTGACATCCATGTTCATCAGCTGTCGGTGTCAGGAGTGTCTGAAAGAAACAGGAAACCTAGTGAATTACTGAGTATGTTTGGTGTCAGTGCTAGACACATCATAGCAGCTGTGAAATATACTTTAGTGAACTAAAATAGCCGGTTTTTTAAAATGTTAGTCTCTTTGTGTTGGTTTTAAAACCCTGTTGGGCCTTTGTGTTTATTATTTAAACAAAGCCATTTAAGAGCTTGTTTCATTCCTAATTCAGAAATTCAAGCCAACTACTTGTCTCTTAAACTGTGACTGTATGTACAAATGTCACTCAGTGTTGAATCATAAGTACTTTAAGTAATAGAATACAACAACCTAATGCAAAGTTTGCTGATAAGACTACAAATAATTGACTAGTTTGAGAATTAATGTAGAGATAAGTTTCCTAAATGTAATTTATTTGTAAAGAAAATGTGAATTTCATTGTAGACTACAGTAGCCTAGGTTTTGAGGCAAGTATGAGGTTTCATGTAATGCCATCCCACCTGCAGCTTCCTGGATAATTTTTGACTACAGTTGCCTGGAAATTCCCTTCAAAGTTTGTCTTCTCTCTTGTGCAGTTTAGAGACTGGAAAGCAGCAGTGAAAGCTCTTATGATGTACCACATTGCTTCAGTGACTGTTCTGTGAAGAAATGAAAACCTGACTACTACTGGTTTGCACACTACAATGTTTTGTGAGGTTTCAGAAACGTTTCATTTTCTCAGTGACCAAACCAATTTGCTAACTTGATTGTATTCATCTACTCAGGAAACTAAAATTAATGTAATAAAGTATTTAAAAACCAATAACTTTATTCAGTTTGTGTCATGTATGTGTGACTTGGTTTCTCTCTGATAACAAAAAAAAAAAAAAAAAAAAAAACCCAACTTCTATCTAAATAGGAAGAGGCATGTTCCCTCAATAGAGGAAACTGTCCCAGCTAGAGACAGATCACTGGAAAGCAATGTGTGGACTGAAGCACACCCTACACTTTTTGCTGCGAGTACATAGATTACATGGCTGGAAGAATGCAGTACTAGTCTGGTAAAGCCAGACCCAAAGTTTGAAAGTAAAATTAAAATGACTTTTTGTCAGGTAATTCCCTAGTTTTATTACCTTCATTGTCATCATTAAGTTCATTGGACACATAACCCAGTTTGTCTGAGGGTTGTTCTGGAAGGTATAGAAACCAAAAATCACTAACCTGGGAATCAGAAAAATTGGGGCCTGCTCAGGACAGTAGTAATACTCTCTGCACTTTTTCTCTGAGCTAGTTCTGTTTTTTTCTTTTGAAAATTGATGATAATTGTTCTATTTATTTCCTAAGATTTAAAAATCATTTTGTAAAAATAAAAATAGTTGCTATAGGATTATTATATAAATTTAGAAAATGCAAATGCACAATAAATTTAGCTCATTTGTCTCACCATAGGAAAATCCATTTATAGTATTCATATATAACTGCAGCACTTAAAAACCTGGTCATTCCCATGTAGTAACATCAATCAGATGTATCCATGGATGGGGTGCTATTAAATAAACGTCTTCATCCTTAAAGTTTTCAAACCCTATTGAAAGGTTGTTGCTAAACCACGAAAGATGCCTGGATTCTTGGCCTCTGGAGGAAAAGAATTCAGTCCGGGGCCAGAGACGAGGGTTGATCGCTCAGAGTTTTAATGTAGTAAAGTTTTATTAAAGTATAAAAGAGAAAGCTTCTGACATAGACATCAGAAGGTGGCAGAAACAGTACCCACTCCCCTGCTAGTCTTTCAGTTCAGTTCAGTTCAGTTGCCCAGTCGTGTCCAACTCTTTGCAACCCCATGAACCACAGCGCGCCAGGCCTCCCTGTCCATCAGCAACTCCTGGAGTCCTCGCAAACTGATGTCCATCGAGTTGGTGATGCCATCCAACCATCTCATACTCGGTTGTCCCCTTCTCCTCCTGCCCTCAATCTTTCCCAGCATCAGGGTCTTTTCAAATGAGTCAGCTCTTCGCATCAGGTGGCCAAAGTATTGGAGTTTCAGCTTCAGCATCTGTCCTTCCAATGAACACCCAGGACTGATCGCCTTTAGAATGGACTGGTTGGATCTCTTTGTAGTCCAAGGGACTCTCAAAGAGTCATCTCCAACATCACAGTTCAAAAGCATTGATTCTTCGGCCCTCAGCTTTCTTTATAGTCCAACTCTCACATCCATACATGACCACTGGGAAAACCATAGCCTTGACTAGATGGACCCTTGTTGGCAAATAACGTCTCTGCTTTTTAATATGCTGTCTAGGTTGGTCGTAACTTTCCTTCCAAGAGCAAGCGTCTTAATTTCCTGGCTGTAATCACAATCTGCAGTGATTTTGGACCCCAGAAAAATAAAGTTAGCCACTGTTTCCACTGTTTCCCCATCTATTTGCCATGAAGTGATAGGACTGGATACCATGATCTTAGTTTTCTGAATGTTGAGCTTTAAGCCAACTTTTTTCACTCTCCTCTTTCACTTTCATCAAGAAGCTCTTTAGTTCTTCACTTTCTGCCATAAGGGTGGTGTCATCTGCATATCTGAGGTTATATTTCTCCTGGCAATCTTGATTCTAGCTTGTGCTTCCTCCAGCCCAGGGTTTCTCATGATGTACTCTGCATATAAGTTAAATAAGCAGGGTGACAATATACAGCCTTGATGTACGTCTTTTCCTATTTGGAACCAGTCTGTTGTTCAATGTCCAGTTCTAACTGTTACTTCCTGACCTGCATACAGGTTTCTCAAAAGTCAGGTCAGGTGGTCTGGTATTCCCATCTGTTTCAGAATTTTCCACAGTTTATTATGATCTACACAGTCAAAGGATTTGGCATAGTCAATAAAGCAGAAATAGATGTTTTTCTGGAACTCTCTTGTTTGTTCAATGATCCAGTGGATGTTGGCAATGTGATCTCTGGTTCCTCTGCCTTTTCTAAAACCAGCTGAACATCTGGAAGTTCACGGTTCACGTATTGCTGAACCCAGGCTTGGAGAAGTTTAAGCATTGCTTTACTAGCTTGTGAGATGAGGGCAATTGTGCAATAGTTTGAGCATTCTTTGGTATTGCCTTTCTTTGGGATTGGAATGAAAACTGACCTTTTCCAGTCCTGTGGCCACTGCTTAGTTTTCCAAATTTTCTGGCATATTGATTACAGCACTTTCACAGCATCATCTTTCAGGATTTGAGTTAGCTCAACTGGTATTCCATCACCTCCACTAGCTTTGTTCATAATGATGCTTCCTAAGGCCCACTTGACTTTACATTCCAGGATGTCTGGCTTTAGGTGAGTGATCACACCATTGTAATTATCTGGGTCATGAAGATCTTTTTTGTACAGTTCTGTGTATTCTTCCCACTTCTTCCTAATATCTTCTGCTTCTGTTAAGTCCCTATCATTTTTGTTCTTTATTGAACCCATCTTTGCATGAAATGTTCCCTTGGTATCTCTGATTTTCTTGTAGAGATCTCCAGTCTTTCCCATTCTATTGTTTCCCTCTATTTCTTTGCATTGATCGCTGAGGAAGGCTTTCTCATCTCTCCTTGCTAATCTTTTGAACTCTGCATTCAAATGGGTATATCTTTCCTTTTCTCCATTGCTTTTCGCTTCTCTTCTTTTCACAGCTATTTGTAAGGCCTCCTCAGACAGCCATTTTGCTTTTTTACATTTCTTTTTCTTGGGGATAGTCTTGATTCCTGTCTCCTGTACAATGTCATGAACTTCCATCCATAGCTCATCCGGCACTCTGTCTATCATATCTAGCCTCTTAAGTCTATTTCTCACTTTTTAAAAGCTGGATATTATATAACTACTAGTAGTCTGCTAATTAAAGAAAGGAAATGTCTCAAAACTCAGAGAATGGCACCAGACCTCATCCACAAGAAGCATTTTCAGATAATCTTGGCACCAGGTGAGTCATCCTGGGCCATAAATATAGAGAAGGGAAAAAAAAAAATGTAACACTAGTTTGTTTCCTCCTGCCGCTTTAGAGAGAGAGAGAGAGAGAGAGAGAGAGAGAGAAAGTCTGACACTTGCAGCCTATTTCCTCTGTTTGGAGACCCCTGGCCTTCCTGCCTGTTACCATCTTACTACTATTGATTTAGACACAGATTAAAACACATAAAGTACCAGCACAAAATTACTTGTCCTAATTTGAGTGTGTATAGTAGGAAAGGGCTCAGTTTGTATGGCTTTTAACTTGACTGTGGGATGCAAAATACTTTGCTTCCAATCAACCATGCATAAACACAACACAACACTCTGACAGCAGTTCAGAGTGGAATTTCAGAAATGATCAAAAGTAGTTTTGTAGGTGGGTGGAGAAGGCATTAATCTCTCCTGTAAAGATTCTGTCCCACAGGGCAGGTCCAGAAGGAAGAAATGGGAGATGAGACTTCTATCTTGTGTCTACAGTTCTTCATGTAAGATGGAATAAAATCCAGTTGTGTTATATTAAATATTCTCCAGCTTTGAATATGTCTGGAGATCATGTAACTGCCCATGGAAATCAGAGAATCATCCTGAATGATAACTAATCTTGACCCCTAAATCTTGTATATATGCAATTTTGACTTGGATGAACACCTGGCCACTGGTTTAACTCAGGTCTTCTATTCATTGTTTTGCCTAGAAGAGGGTTATCTCAATTAAGAAAGCTTGATGACATTCCAGGGACAGCTGTGAGTACATCTGCTCCCTGACTTATTGTTCAGCTAACAAAGACCAAAGATGGCAAAGGGCAGGAGGTGGCAAACACCATCAGGCAAAATCTATTTGCCTTCCATCTTTGTGCAACTGCAAGCTCAGAAAAATCCAGTGGGCAGATAATCCTGGCAAGCTACAATCCATAGGGTCACAAGAGAGTAGGACGTGACTTAGCAACTAAACAAACAAGCAAAAAGCTACGTATGCCTTTATACTTTTAGATGGTTAAAGAAGTGTCACGAGCTGCATTTCGTGAAAACTATGAAATTCAAATGTCCATGAATGAAATTTGATGGTAACACAGCCACACTCCTTCATTTATATATTATCTGTGGCTGCCTGGGAGCTACCACAGCAGAATTGACATCAGTTGTTGACATTTGTCATAGTTGTTACACATTGTGGTGTACAAAGCCTAAAACATTTACTCTCTGGATTGTTACAGTAGAAGTTTGCAAATCGTGTGGTAAAGCATTGGAGCGAGGTGAGGGTGGAGGTGATAAGGATGGCCTGTGGAGGTTCAGGCTTCATGGCTACCTCTATCTTTGGCTACAAAGTGTTGGTAAGATTGGAGGTTCCAGGCTTACTACAGGCTACCACGTTGAGGAGTAAGGACACACACGTATCAGAGAGGTTCTATGTGATGCGTGACAGTCTGGGAACATAGGAAGTGAATTTGGGAACATAGGAAGGTGTAATCTCACTTAGAAAGGGACCACCAGTGATTAGAGCCCCTACTTGCTATTAAATCCCCCATCTGTTGGTCCCAATGTTGCTGAATTTATGTGCAAAGACATGGTTGGTAGTGATTTTCAGCAGAGGCGATGACAATGTATTTGGAGAAAACTTTGGAAATTTGGATGAAAGAAAAGTATAAGAAAACATATTTCCCTTTCTTTCAACTCTCGCTGAAGGAACTGCGGAGAAAATGGTACCATTTCCTTCTCCAGGGATCTTCCCAAGCAGGGATCAAACCCAAGTCTCCCGCATTGGCAGGCAGATTCTTTACTGCCAAATCACTAGGGAAACCCAAAATATAGCTAATACATGTTAATTTGGGCTTCCTCAGTGGCTCAGCAGTAAAGAATCCGCCTGTAA